AGTTTGTGTTGTAAATAATTTATAGAACAGAAGATAAAGAGTTTGAAAATTATTGATATAAACCCACTTTCTTCTTTCAGCTTTTCCCTCTTCAGGTGTCACCACATCGAGTCCTCCTCCTCATCACTCTGTCCTCACTCCAACTACCTCCATGTCCTCTCTAACTGCATCCATATATCTCCCCTTTGTCTTTTTCCTGGCAGCTGCATTTCTAACATCATTCTACCAGTATACCCACTGTCCCTCCTCTGGACATGTTCAAACCATCTCAGTCTGGCCTCCCTAGCTTTATCTCCCAGTTGTGCAACCTGTGCTGCACCTCTGATGATCTCATTCCTAATCTCATCCATCCTTGTCACTCCTAAGGAGAACCTCACTATCTTCATTTCTGCCACTTCCAGTTCTTTCCCCTGTCTTTTTGTCAACGTCTCTGTCTCCAGACCATAAAATACAACTGCTCTCACTACTGTCTTGTAAACTTTTCCTTTGACCCTTGCTGACACCTTTTTGTCACAAATCACTCCTGAAACTTTTCTCCATCCACTCCATCCTGCCTGGAGTCTCTTCTTCATCTCTTTATCACACTCCCCATTTTCCTGGACAGTGGACCCCAAGTACTTGAAGTCCTGCCCCTTTGTGACCTCTGCTCCTTGTAGCCTCACTAATCCACCAGCCTCCCTCGCATTCACACACTTGAACACACAAATACTGATTTACTATAACCAGAAAATACATTATATATAAAAAAAACTCCTGCACTTCTTAAAAAAACAACAACCCTGTAGTCTCATCAACCTTCTCCATGTGAAGAATGTCCAGGTGAGTAGAGAGTGCATTTTATATTCAGCAGACTATAAAACAAAAATTACTGCCTGTACTTGATGAACCAGATAGTTATAAAATTGTCCTCCATAGTCAATTTACCAAGTGCACATTGCCCATTAGCACACGTACGTTTCAGCTTCATTTGCTGTGAAGTGAAAATGCTGCAATTTTAGACTTCAGGAGACGTTAATGACATCCCATCATCCAGGCAGAAAAGTATTTCATCAAACCAGTGACCTCATCACCCGGGTTGTCCAGGCGTGCACTGTGAAACCATATCAGGGAGACAGCAGGGCACCATGGGAAACATGAGCTGTGACCGCCAGTGAGCAGGAGGGATTAAAAGCCCGTAAATGAAAAGCTGTAAATGCATCAACGGGTCAGTTCGAGTTGGCAGAGCAACACGAGGCAAAACGTTTCATCTCAGGTAATAAGATGAAATCTGAAGCATTTAATTCTTAAGACTACAGCTCGAAACAACCCACTCAACCTGAAGGGGTTCAGTTCCATCTGCTGCTCAGACGGCAAACTACAAGCTTTGGTCCTTGTCTGACAAATGATGCCTTGTTTTGTGCAGTTTTATTACTTTGTAAAAAAAAAAAAGTCTCAAGATGTAAAAAATAAAGCTCAAATTTTATTTTACATTCAAGGTATTAAAAAGAGTAGAGGCTTGAAATTTAAAAAAAAAAAAAAATCTATAAACTGTTTGTCATTTTTCTGGTATCCATTAAGTGGTAAAGAAAAAAAAAGTATCATCTGGTGTTTGAAAGCAGGCAATGATGTTTTTGGTTGTTAGTGTCTGTAACTTTAATAACCAACTACTGGAGGAGTTATAATAAAGCTTGAATAAATAATCATTGGCTGCACATGGTCTACAACTATAATTTTTAAAGTCAAGAACTTAAAATTATTATTTGTCAACAAACATTTGGACTTAAACCCACCTGTTAACAAAATATTAGCCGATGGATAGATTTAAATAAAACTTGCAGGAAACCATCATCAGATGTGCATCTACAACTAAACTGAGGGCAATGTTCTCCTGGAGATGATTATTCATGTTTTTTATCTCTTCTCGTTTAGATTATTTTAATTCCCTTTTTACTAAACCTTGACCTCTCAAAGTGACTTTAAACATGTTATGTTACTGACAAAAACCAAAGCAGACATGTTCTTGTTTAGTTTTCTACACCGCCTTTTAATCTAGATGTTTTTTCACTACTTTTCCTTTTGATTGATTTTATTTTAACTTTTTTTTATTAAAATTTGTACACATCTTTTATGACTGTCTATTGTTGTCATCACTCTGTTAAAGAGGTCTCTCTTGTAAAGGAGTCCCCGAGGCTCAATGGGATTAACCTGTATAAATAAAGGTTGAATGAACTCGCTTTAACAAATTTGCCGTCACTCGTCTCCAGTTGGTCCAGAACGCTGCTGCGAGGCTTTTAACAGGAACTAATAGAAAGTTTTACCTTCTCTTCATTGACTAGTTGAATTTAGAATTAGTTTTAAAAGTTTTGTCTCGACTTTCAGAGCTTTAAATGGACAGGTCTTGCAATACATCACTGAAATGTTGAACCGTAGTCTCCAGCCCGCACCCTTCGGTCTTCAGTGCTGAACCTCCTAAAGGTTCCTAAGACCCAGTTTAAAACTCGGGGTGATCTATGCTTTCATGCCGCATGCCCCCCAGCTGTGGAATGCCCTGCCCGTCTCTTCGTGTGAGTCTCTGTTTATTCCTTTAAAAAAGCAGCTTAACACTTTTATTTAGACAAGCTTTTAGTTAAATATTTAATTTTTTACAGTTTCTATCAGCTGTTCTTACCATTTTTTTGTCAGCTGTTATAATTTTATTTTAAGCTTGTATTTTGCATCTCGGGTTTTGTTAGTGCACGATGTCCAAGACAAATTTCCCCTCGGGGACAATAAAGTATACATCGATCGATTGATCTATCTAAAGCACTTTGTGATTTTATCTGTGAAAAGTTCACTTACTTGCTTCTACAGCTGAACTGATAAAGACAATTGGTTTCAGGATGGACGCCACAAACCGTGGGAAACACAAAAAGGCTACAATTCAGTTGGTTTTACACGTTTTAGCATCTTTTTTTCATTCATTCAACCTTTATTTAGACAGGTAGATCCCATTGAGCCTCGAGGACTCGTTTACAAGAGAGACCTGATTTCAACAAAGAATGATGACAACAATGGACAACAGCGACAACAATAGTTATAAAAAAGTCATCTTAATGTGGTAGTAGCCGAGAGTCATCCACAACACATCTCTGAGCGCTTCCAGATCTCGTGAGACCTGAAGAAAGTTCACATGAATGACAGGGTTTGATCTCTACAAGTGTCCCTGCTCTGCATCGTTTGATTTTAGTTTCAATGTGTGGACTGAAAGGCTGCAGGGCGCTCCCAAACGTTGGAGCAGAAAAACTTTTACAAGAACTTCAAGATCAGTTTCAGATCTACTTTACCTTCATGCGAGTTCAGAAACCATGACAACTTGGTGTTTAAATTTATTTATTACCACCAGAAATCTTAGAGTGCTACATATTTTAAGAGTTGTTTCAAAGAAGTAAAAAGCTTATGTACAGATAGACAGCTAACTTTAGTTCAATATTTACATGTGCAGTTCTACACTGTGAATTCTGAAACTGTTTTTTGTCATCGGCAACATGCTTGTTCAGTGAAACATTTAAAAATTAAATAGATCGACAAGGGGTGGGGGTGAGAGGATTAACGAAACGCAAGACGACACAGATCCTCTAATCTTTGGGCGGCCGATGAACGCAGCTGAAATGATAATCTAAACATATGACAGATGCCGTTTGTGATCATTTACTATTGCCGTGACTTTAACCAAACATGTTCAGCACTCAGAAAAGGGACACGTGCACTAATCTAACAGATAAGTGCAATAATGTACAAGAATAAACTGGGATTAAATAACAATTGCACCACGATCATTTGTAAAAGAAGCAGATACAGCAGGAAACAAAGCGCTGTAAAAAAGATGCGTCGTTTCCCTTCGCTGACATGACATGATGATGTTCTTCAGGAAGACGAAGGGGGGAAACATTCAGCTGTGCAGCATCTTAGGGTCTTCTGCGTCTGAAAAATAAAAATAAAGTAAGCACACCTAAATTAAAACACGACTCGCAGTGTGCAGACGTGTTTTCCTTTGCTTACTTTTGATACCCATTGCCTGAACTGGAGCCTCCTGCTGGAGCCTAAAGGATTAAAAATAATAAAATATATGTTTACCAATTAATAATTTAACAAAAGTTTAGTTGATGAATTGTTTTGTTTTGTAAGACCATACCATGTTTTCTACATCCTCGATTTCAGCTGGTCCCTCCTGAGACCCTGATCGCCTTTTACGGCTTAAAAAGAAAGAAAAAAGTGCAGATTAGTTTAATGGACAAAGAAGAATTCTGTCAATAATGCATTAATTTACTAAAAGTAAATATAAATTAGTAGAAAATTGCAAGATACAAAAACATGCTTGAACAAAATCTAAAAGAAGAAAATAGGATTTAGACCTGTGACACTTTATATTTCTGTTTCAAGTTTTATATTATTTTACAACTTTTTAAATCCCAGATTAAGACATTTTCTATGTTAGTTTAAAAACCAGCAGCTGGACTTATTGACCCTCTTTACCTGAAGAGCAAAACCTCAGGGGTCATTTTGAGCCAAGGGCAGCAGGAAGGTTAAACTTATGAGGACCTGGATTCAATAATCTGGATTCAATGATCTGGATTCAATGAACTGGATTCAATGATCTGGATTCAATAATCTGGATTCAATGATCTGGATTCAATGATCCGGATTCAATGATCTGGATTCAATGATCTGGATCACTGAAGCCCGAGAGTTTTCTTTTTGTGTGTGTGTGCATTATCAAGGGTTAAAATATTTTGTGATAATGTATACATTTGGTTAATTTGAAAGTAGATTTTTAACATCTTTATTAATAAAAATACAATAAGACCGCCTTATTAGAAGTTACTTTATGACATTAGACCAGCTCTTCTTACAGTTCACCTCCAGGCGTTAAATAAAACTCAAAGAAAACAAAAAACGTGTTTTTATCTTGCTCAGCTGACACCCAACCTTTCCAGACTTTAAAACCAAAAACTGTTCAAGGAAATTATAGTGATTTTTTAACTAATACAACTTTGCATACTGTAAAAAATACTGAATTTGGTATTTGGGAATTTTTGGACAAAGTTTGTGGGTGTTTTTCACTATCATGGCTGAGAATGTTAACTCTGCCCATGAATCACATGTTTGGTTAACAGAGAGCTGGATGAGGCTGCGGCATGCAGCCGTCACTTCAAGGACGTCTCAGAGTCTGTGAGCTCTGCTGAACTGAGAGTGTATAAAACGAGGCTCATGGCAGATTCTCCTGACTGGTGTACTTCCTGCACATCTGCAAAAGCGGTCCTGAAACTCTGACCTCGCAAGAAAAACACTCCTGCTGTCGAGTGCGACGCCTTTTGAGAAAGTAAGCAAAGCAAGAATATTTTTCTCTTAACATTTGGATCTTTAAATTCAGGTCCCGTTAAAGTGAAAGAAGCTCATTTGGAAAATATTTGATGAACGACTGATATGTGAAAACGCTCAAACCTGCTGATCAGTTTTATCGTTACAACACTACGCTGCCACACAAAGTTAACAACAGTTTACATTAATGCAGCACACGTGTGCATAGGAGCACAATGGCTTGACGTATTAGAGAAAGTGTACCTTGGTGCCGTCGGGCACTCTTGTCTTAGTGTCTCGATGTCAGTAAACTGCACAGCTTGTCCTCCTCCTCTGGTCTTAAAAACATCTCCCTGTGGAAAAGAGAAAAAAAAAATCACTCAATAGGACTTATTGTCTGTCCCATCACTTATTAAAACACAACCCAAGTACGTAAACAGATTTTGATCAGATGTAATCGAGTTAAATCATCCAAGTCGTGCAGGCAGTTATTATGGTTTACCTTGATCAGTTTGGTCTCGATTTCCCCGTCAGAGGCAAGTTCTTGGTGCCTGAGCACGTATTTGTGGCATTTAGACAGAGCTTTCTCGTTGGGGGTCGACACCTTGACTGCATTGGGTATGATTGGCTGCATTACAGTGCCTAGGTCCAAATTAGAAGCGGGTTTGTGGTCTACCCATTTGTCCCCACCCGCAGAGCATGAGCGCCTGTGCGTCGGATGAACCGGAGGAACCCTCTGGTGATCCCAAAGTGAGAAACACAAACAGGGAAGTTATTCACACGTGGAACCATTTCAGGCTTGTTGTGGTTAGTAGTGAAGTTTGATCTTAGAGTGATGCTGGGGTGTTAGAATGTAATTTAAAAAAGTGTTTTACTGGAAGGCACAGTAGGAAGGAATTAAATACTAGATGTTTTTTTGTTTGGAAATATATTCAAAATCATCTAAATGTGGTCCTACACTTTAATTACATCCACAACGAGGCCTTCCAGCAAAACAGCTTCACTGGAAACAGCAGAGTGAGAGATGGTTGCATGCAAAGCAGAACAAATCGTTGGATAGAAATGGATCGAAAAGGGTGAGACTACTCCAGAATCAGCATGCGTAAGATCTAAGATCACGAACAAAACATATTCTTGTTAAGAAAAGATAAAACTTGAGTGCGATTAAGAATGAACTCATGGGGTGACAGAAAACTACAAACTCAATAAACTGGATTTACTTTTTGTTAATGATACTGATGAGGATTCTGTTAGCTGAGTTTAAATTTTAACACTGATTTTAGCAAAATAATTAAATGTAGGCAACAGTGAGCTGGTTGTAGAGGCAGCTGAACAAATCAGTCACTTCTTTTCTATTCTAATATTTCATCTTGTGCGTGTAAAAAGTCATTTTAACACAGCTTTGCTTAAATTTACCATGATCATTTTTTTCATTTGTTTTTAATAGTTAAGAAACTGATGTGGTAGGAGTTCAAAACTAACAAGAAACAGATAGATATAGCTGTAAACTATTACTTTACAGAAAATAATCTTTTTAACATGCGTCCACACATGGAATGAAAAGCATAATTAGAAAATAGTTATAAAGTGGCAGAAAAATCAGATCAAATCCATGAAAAGGATAAACTACAGAAAGGTGAGGTTTCTTCTAAACCACATTGTTGAGTTTATTTTTAAATATTTAAATTTCTCATTTATGCACTATCCTCACTAGCGCAACAAAAGTGTTGCAGCTAAGGATATCTTCATGAGGTAAGCAACGTTATGAAAAAATAAAATAAAGCCTTTTTTTTAAATAGACAACTATTTCCACACAACAGCACTACAAGGCAGAAAAATACACGCCTGAAGGGAGAAAAATTAATTTATCTTAAACTTACTTACAATAGTTTAATTAAAGAGGTTGCACCTCGTGATCAACTGTTGCTATTAAAAAAATGAATCTTAATACTAGAGCCTGACAGATATATTGATAGGGCCGATAATTTGAGCAGATATAGACGTTTGGGGACCTATCAGTATCGGTGATAATTGGCCAATTATGCGTCGATGTAAGCAGTTCTAATTTTCACCACTAAAATGCTGGAACCAGCTGTAATTGTACAATGTGCCCAGCAGAGGGCGCATGGAGACTACTTTCAAGTCATGGCCATTAGGTTTCACTTTCATCACAGATGAAGCAAGGAGCAATACTGTGTAGTGTATTTTGCTGAACAAAACATGGTAAGTTTATTTTAACAACAAATCAACAACAATTAATTCTCTTCAATCCTCCAACCTGCTAGTCATTAGCTACGTGCCTCTCAAGTTAGCAAGCTAACGTTAGCTAAGACTATCGCCTTGTAAAACTGCATCCAGAACAATAAATCTAACATAGAGGTAAAATATATCAGTGTTAGTAACGTTATCTTTGTCGTCCTTATTGAAATGCATCGTTTGTCTGAAATCTTTACTTCTCTGAAAAGAAGAAAACAATACAGCTGAGGTCAAAACTAATTAGACCTTCACCATATGTGACTGTTTAAACAATGAACAGGGAAGGACGTTTCTTTATTTAGGTTATAATTATGTAACACTTGTTAACTTTATGAAGAATAGTAGAGGGTAGAAAATGTGAACGCATGTTAGGCAGACTGCTTCTATGACCAGTGCACGACTTGTAAACATAGTGTGGGACTACGTATAGCGTGGATCTGATTAGCTTAGCTTCATGTTTGCTAACAGCCATGCTAAATAAACAAGCTCAGCTCCACTTGCTGTTTAGATTCTTGGGGGTGGACAAAGCTCAAAAATTTTCAGCCATTATATCGGTTACTGGCGGTTGCCTTCCCCTCTCAATATCACCAAAAGACAAAATTTCCACATCGGTCAAGCTCTGCTTAATACTTCCCACAGCTTCATTTGATTTCTACCAAAGGTGTGAGAGATGAGCTGGCAAAAATTCCTCTGTATATGAAAAAATATACAAAAGGAAGGCGATATGCACAATTTTTCATAATGATAATACTTTTCACCAAGTTTCATCAAATTCCTTAAAAGGAGAGGAGATGAGCTGACAAGAAAACTGTTACTGGACAGACAACCCATGTCGTAACATAATGTGAGTGTGCGCAAAAAATAATCAATCAAATAAAAAAATTAAATTATCTGATCAGCTGTCTGCAGGAACAGCACAGACGCACTCAGTTTTTAGAAAGAAGAGACAAAAAGTCTGAAAGTTAAATGTACACAAGGTGAAGAAACAAAGAAATCTAATCTAGACTGATGTTTCTATTTAAAGCATTCAAGCACATCTACTGACAGCATTAAGGTTGCAGTTCTACACCAAGACAAGATCTAACTACACACTCCAAGTGAAGAACTAAACATTTTGAAGGACATCTACTAACACTAACCCTTGTGCCTGCATCTCTGTCTAGATCATAGACCGGAGGTGTAGCAGCCTCATAGTCAGGGGCCCAGTGCTGGCCTCTCCTGCGACCCACGCTGTTGGTGTGGCACGGGGCGGGAGTTCGGCTTGTGTACTGAGGAGACCCAGGGTACCTAGACTGGCTGACTGGGTCTACAGGGAGCCTCTGCTCCCACTCAGAGATGCAAGAAGCTACTGAAGGATAGGATGAAGAGGAGGAGGGAGTGGAGGCAGAGAAACGGTCCTGAACTGCCCTAATATTGGCTCGATTTAGTCTGAGAGGAGTTTGGCCTAAGTCCTGCAAAATAATTAGGAAACAGGGAAAGGTGAAGCAAATGTTAGGAGTGCCTGATCAACAGAAACACACAAAAATTACCAGTAACAAACAGTAAAACGCTGTGTGGTGAGCCCTGAACAATTAACACCATGCAGAATTATCTCATTAAGCTAAATTAGAAGAAAGTAATGAAGAGCACACTGATAGAACAAGCTGCTTCACATAAATAACTTACAGGAGGTGGTGTAGGGGAGCCAGACCGTTTCTGGGGTACATTAAGATCTTTCTCTCTGGAGGGTCTCTCAGGTTTCGGTGGTGGCTCAGCTGGACGACTGCTACCACTGCTGTTCTCCGTCACTATGGCTTTGAGCTGCTTCAGCTTTTCATCCTTCACCCACAGTTTGTTCTGCATCTCCAGCTGCTTGGCATTCACGCGCCGCTCCTGATAAACAACATACAGAAACAGGAAACTATCACAAGCTTTTCTTGAACTCAAAATATCGTTTGATCATATTTAAAAATAGCTTCAGGAACTAATTCTGCATTCTAAATTATTAGTAGGTGGCTGTGATAGCTTGGTGGTCAGTGCTTGACCGACCACTTGTAATCTTGGGTTTGTTCCCAGGTTGCATCATGGGCATTCAGCAGAAAGCAACTGGCTCGCTGTGGTGACCCCTGAAGAAAGGAGCAGCCAAAAGAAACTTACCAAACAATAGTGGGGTAAACTGACCAGCTACAAAGTTCATGTATAATTTCAGCTGATGAAGATTCAATAAGAAAATTACATTAAAACTGATCATTTTATTTCTGGAGAATATGTAGTACAGCTTAGATTGTTCATCATTCGTCTCTTGGCAATATCTAAAATGAATAAAAACAAAGTCCTTTTGACTGATGAATTATTAATTTGTTTGAGACAGATAATTACAGTATTGTTATTAAATGGCACTTTCCACACACATTTCTGCAGTTTTAAATATTTAGGAGTACTGTAATTTGTGCTGTACAAGTCTCAGTTTTTTGCATGAATTGGCATGCCTGCGACACGTACAGCGAAGCAACGTATTCATGTTTTTCCCCAATATTTATAACACAATTTTTGGCTGAGATCTGACGATTTCCTTCATTCTGACATGGAAAATATTGAACACTACCATTTTCAGCTGCTACAGGGCCCTCGACTAATATGGAAAGCCAAGTGTTTCCTTAATAGGTAAAAGTGGCTATTAATGAGACACTTGGCTTGCCATACAGAGCCACCTTCGTCTCTCCAGAACTCCTGGAGCAAACGTCAACTCAGCTGCATTTCTCTGCACGGCCCAGGAGAAATGCAGCTGAGCTGACCATTTGTTAAGAACAAAGTCAACTAAAGTGTAATTGATATCATTAGGATTGATTGTTTGCAGCTTTCTGCCTCTTGTCATTTGTCATGTGGTTCTGAATTTCTGCACTGAAGGCACCTCATTTGTTTTCAACCTACTTTTAATAATGATTTTACTGTACGTTTAAAAAAAGCAATGAAATTAACAAATTTATGACTGAACAGTATTAACCCACTCTAGCAGTCTAAAAACACCCAGATGAACATTTGCTCAATTGTTTTTAAGTAGAAAACAAAACTTGCAACTGCAATGTGTCAAAACATGCAGTAGCTTTTCCCACAACCACTAGTGATAATTTTGAAAAAATCCAATAAGGAATTTACAGAATTGATAAAGAAAAAAAAGGTATATATTCATGCATGTTTGACTTAATCTTACACATATTTTTATTTGAGAAAACATTTACCGGTAGGTCACATATGGCTAATTGTTTGAATACAAACCAAATGTATGCAAGTATACCAGTCAAATAGAAATGTAGTGAATTAATCTACTTACACACTCCTTCTCCCATTTGAGTTTGGTGTCCGTCACCATGCCCTGCATCCGCTGCTCCATGCGCCTCCTCTCTGAAAACTCTTTCTGCAGTATCTGCTCTCTGCCATCCAGTTCCTGCTGAAGGGAGCGCTTGTCCTGCTCGTACATCTCTGTTGTTTTCTGAAGGATGTCAATCTGACAAGGACACAAGCGTGAGGGGGCAGAAAACAAACACAACCATTTAGGAAAAAGGCCATTTATGTTTGAAAACATAAAAAAAGGGAGGCAACACCTTGTATTCCAGTGTCTTGGATTTTTTCTCCAATCGTTCTATCTCCGACTTCTGGTTGAGGATCACTTTTTCTTTCTCGTTCAGCTCGTTTCTCTGGTCGTGGAGGAAGGTCTCCTTTTCACAGAGTTGACTGTCAAACTGCTGAAGCTTGGACTTCAGCATACTGGCTGTAAAATTGGTGCAAATTGTTTGGTTTGAAGACGTTTTACAAAAAACATGGCTGCTCCCAAATAAACTTGCATAATGCATCCATGCACAACAGAATAATAAATGATCAGCAGTGATCTCTGTATTCATTAGAACAATATTGTTGGGAAGAAAGAAAAAGTGTTACTGGTTTGATTAAACTGCTTTGCTATCATCTGACGGATATGCTTCCGTCTTTCCAGGACCTCGATCAGATGGGGCAACGTTTGATCATCAGCAGGGTCCACCAGCTCACAGGGAGGAAGGGCTGGGAGGCTTTCAATCAACTGGTTCAGCTGAACTGGGAAATCTACATGTGATAAGAATAACAATACAAGCAAAGAATAAAATTAGTTACAACCATGTATTTTTTTTTCCTTTTTAATTCTTGGTGGGACTGAAGGGGTCCAATTTGGTGACCTTAAGAATCCAGCCCTGCTACTTGGTTCTGAGTGAGAGAAGAATGGGGCATGAGATCCACAGATGGATCAGTGTCAATCTTGTGCCATTCTCTGTACTGGTCTGTTATGGTGAAGACGGAGCTGAGCAGTTTGTTTACTGGTCAGTCTACATTCCTACGCTCACTTATGGTTACAAAATCTGGATAATGACTGAAAGAACCAGAATGCGGATGAAATGAGTTTTCTCTGCAGGGTGGTCAGACTCCCTTAGAGACAAGGTGAGAAATTCAATTATCCAGGAGACTTGGAGTAGAGTCGCTGCTCCTCCACATCGAAAGGAGCCAGTTGAGGTGGTTCAAGCATTTGGTTAGGATGCCCCATGAACACCAGCGCATGTCCAACTAGGAGGGGTCCCCTGGAACATGCTGGAGAAACTGTCTTTTAGGTGGCATGGAAATGCCTTTGAAATCCCCCAGCAAAGCTGACTGTGGAAAGAGACGTCTGAGCCTCACTGCTCAAGTTGCTGCCCCATGACAAACAGAAGATGGAATCCTTGGTGGCGTACCATTATAGGCTTGAACTGGTAGAAAAGACCCCTCTTATCAATTTGAGATTATGTAATGGTGTTTAAAGAAAACTCACTTTCTTAATATGTTGCCATGTTCTTATTTTGAACCCAAAGCACACATTTACACCCCATTTTTAAAAAGGTTTGTTGAAATTTGACCTTGTAAATACTAGACTGTGGCATTACTCATCTTATTTTTTTGTCTCGCAGTGCTTATCACTCTTTAGAGATTCTGTATTAACTGTTGCATTAAATGCACATATATCTTTCAATGTTTTATCAGGCACAGGATGCACAACTCTTAATAAACCAAAAGCAATCACCTTTTTGCAATACCTAAGAAACATGTACAGTATGACAAGTCAGCAGCACAGTGAACTGATCAATATGGATTTAAAAGTTGTTGTTTTTAACCTGCATTACTTGGGCCTCCTCTCTCTTCCAGGCGTCGAGACAACTCCTCTTTGAAAGCCTGATTTCTTTGTCTCCGCCCTGCTACAAGGCCATAGATTGGCCGATCAACTGGCCGAGCGACCTCCACCTCCTGAGTCATTTCAGCAAAGCGCATCACCAGCTGCAACAAATACAATGAATTAATTTTTCTAAACATTTCCATTGTGTGGTTGGACTTCAGAGCAGAGAATATCAATGGCCTTTAGATAACCTTGACAGATATGAAACAGGAGTACTGTATACAGCACATTATGCGCCTGTCAGCAAAATATACAGGATTCTATAGCAATGGCCCGATATATAGCAATACAAAGACTTTGCATAAACTTGACCTTGGATCTGGGGTGATGAAAAGTGTACACAACACTGTCTTGAGATGATGCATAAGTGTATGAAGTTTTGTTAAATTGTCTTTAGAGGATCAAAAGTTTTGGGCGGGAAAAGAGAAAGTTTACGGACGGGCGAACAAAGACTGTACCATAAACGGGTGAAAGTCCGTTTATGAATTATAAAAGGAGTCAAACTTGACATCAAAGTGATTTGGCAACACAAAATAGATAACTTACCATCGTTTCTTCATAATCCTCTGCCTTTGGGTTGACACATACAATCATCTTGACTTTTCCCTCTCCATCAAAGTAGTTTTTAAAAAGATGTGTAACCTTTGAGTCTCTGTATGGCACCATCTGGAATTAAAAATGGAGGCTTATTGAGACATGTGTCAGGAAAATAAAAAAATTATCTGGGCCTGGCACCAGAAACAGAGACAGTGATGGCCAGATGATAAAACACTAACCTTATTAGTTCCATACATCTGATTTTCACGCAGGGCCTCAATACATGTACGCAGCGTCATCAGGGACTGATTAATATTACCTGTAAATTAAACATTGTTAAAGCTGTTTAGTGTCTGAACAAAATGTCAACTATCGCTAAACAAGGTCAAATAAATTAAATGACAAGATGAAATATGCAAGCTAACACGAGAAAGGAGCCTAAATAAAAATTAACCTGCTTCACGAAGACGGCTTCCCTCTGCTCTAGTTCTGCTGGTGCGTTCACTGCCCGCCAGATCAACCAGACACAGCTGGCTCACATTCACCTGACTTTTATCCTGTTTACAAAGTAAACAGAGTTTATGAAGAAGAAATTTCACAAAAAGCAGGTGTTAATATACCAATTTAAAGTTGCAAATTACCTGCAGTATGTAGTCACCATCAGCATCGAGTGGTGCCTGGGCTAGCTTCACTGTGAACACACTGTGGGAGCGACTGGATTCATGATTCAGCTGAGTGTTGGCTATCCTCCTTTTCTTTTGTCCTGGACAAATATTGTAACCCCAATTAGTAACACAAACAGTAATATCAAATATCAGTGGGTTTGGAGCTTGGTGAAACCATGTCTGCAGATTTTTTTATGGTCAGTGTAAACTGAAACGTATCTAAAATACATAACTGGTTTGTTAAAGTCTTAAGCTCTTTGGTTCTATTTCGTATAGGCTTCGCCTTAAGGGCTGCGCCTATACTCATAGAATCTGGGGTTACAGTACGTAACCAACGTTTTTCAAATAAAAAAAAAAAGTTTTATGAATAAGCTCATCTGAAATTGGGTAAAATAAATGACACCACAGAATAAAGTTACTGGAAATAAAAGATCTCACGTACCTTTCCAAAAGACTTCAAAAGCCTCCTCTGTAGACTTGACTTCAACTTCTGTGCAGCCAGCCACATACATGGTATGATTCTGATCTTCCCGAAGAATTTTGGACTGAGGTGGCCTGAAATATATCAATGAAAACAATCAACACGCCAACACTGTAGGGCTATGAAAAGTGGCTTTGGCTAGCAAAGTTACAAAAGAAACAAAAAGTTAACAAGAGTCATTGTTAGAACAAAATAAAAACTAGGGAGAAGCACATATATGTTCGGGGGGGGGGGGGGGGGGGCAAATGCTGGGTTTACACAAAAGCATAAGCCATTCAAGAGCACCTTTAATCTCTGCATCAACATTACAATTAACAAGCAACGCTTCAAGACATCAGCCAAAAAACAAAACTTTGTTAGCTTCATTTCAACTATTTATCAGTCGCTGAGTTAATGGGACGGAAGAGGTGATGACCTCAGACTTATAAGCTACAGCCGAGGTTCGTCTATAAATACAGAGACTAATGCTGTTTTATTGGCCACATACATGAACTCTTTGTTCCGTACAGGCGTGCTTCCATCAAGCCACCTATAAAATGGGATTTAACAATTCATCATCACAGATACAAAATAGTCATACATACGCAACTTTTACTAAACCATTTGTACCGTTTATTTATAGGTTTTCTTCAGCGTTAGGCAGATGATTGTTACTGGTAATAGCATTCTGTCCTCAGGTGTTGTCCCGCTTCAAAAATCCTAGCCTAGGCCAAACTGTCTTGCCTAATTTTTGGCCCTTTTCCAAGCTGATTTTTATTTCTAAAATTTTAGGGGGAAAAAAATGTATATTCCCAGACAGGTCAAATGTTTTTTTTGGATGAGCACAGTATCCTGGAGGTTTTTCAGTCTAGCTTCAAAACTCAGCACAGAATCAGCTCTAGTCAGAGTTTGTAATGACATTCTTATGGCTAATGATTCTGGTAAAAATGTAGTTTCTGTCCTGCTCGACCCAACTGCTGCCTTTGATAGCGTGGACCACATTATAATATCATGTTTACAGCACCAATTAGGCATCTGTGGTACTGCACTGAGCTGGTGTAGGTCATATCTGGCAGACAGAACCGTGTGTGTCAACATAGCTGGTTCTGAATCCTCCACTGCTCCTGTTTTTTGGGGTTCTACAGGGCTCTGTTTGAAGTACCCTGCTTTTCTCTCTACCTGCTTCCTTTGGGCACAATCCTCAGAAAGCATGGAACCTGTTTTCACCGCTATGCTGACGACAGTCAGATCTATATGCCACTAAAAAAGAAAGATGCCCCCTCAATTAGGTGGTGACGATTCTCAGTCATCCAGGACATGATAAATTCAAAAGCCATTCAATACAAAAACAACTGGACTTTATTTGTAACAGAAAAGCTCCTCGGATGAGGAGCGAAACATTTTCTGTTACAAATAAAGTCCAGTTGTTTTTGTATTGAATATTTTTTTAACCCCTCAATTAGGCCACTTCTGTTGTGTCTTGAAGACATCAAAGCCTGGATGTCTTCAAACTTTTTAAATTTCAACAAAAAGAAAACGGAAGCGATGGTGTTTGGTTCTAGTGGCTCCTGTGAACGTTCCTCTCTTGATCTGGGCCCTCTGGCACAGCATGTAAAGCAAAAATTTTCAAATTTGGGTTTTAAATTGGACAGTGATTTTAAATTAAATGACCAGATTAGAGAGGTGGTCAAGGCCAGTTTTTATCACCTCAGACAGCTGGCTATGGTATAGCCTAATAACAGACACAAGGACTTATAAAGTGTGTGTGTATTTTATACACCATGAACCGAGTTGTTCTTCAGTATCTTACTTTGGTCTGATCGGATCAAACGGAGCATCTTCTAGGAGATCGTAGATGTAGTTGTTGTAGATCTCGATGTAGGACACAAAGACGCTATAACAACCATCTTCATCTACATTTTTACATTTACAAGCCTCTTCTGGGTTGATCATATCAGCAAATTCTGGATCAGCCTTCAGTCTTGAAAAAAAGAAAACCACAAATAAAATGATTTGAATAAAAAAGTTTTTATCTTCATTCTCTTCTATTTTACCAGAAAATATTGAAACATATGAAAGTAGAAAACTTGAACTACCTGGAAGATGGAGTTTTCGGCAGTGACTGATGACTGTCTCGTTTCTGTCTCTCAAGGAGAGCATCAACTTGGCTCTGGATCTCTATTCCATTTCTGTCATCTGGTTTAAACACCTAACAAAGATTAAAAACGTTTCATCTCCAAAGTCACTTTGAGCTTTTTAAAATACGTCCAACTGAAGAAATGAATGACGGCCTTACAAATCTTTTGGCCTGAAAAGGCTCAATGCTGTTGAAGAGCATGTCTAAACAACGAGGGAGGAGTCCACCTTCCCCAGGTGAGCCAGTCATGGTGTAAGTCTTACCACTTCCAGTAACACCGTACGTGAACAGCAGACCTGTGAACACAACGTAGCCACATCTCACAGATCAGTGGTCATCACCTGTAGATGTGTGGAGTCTTCAGAAAGAAAAGTTAGTGGTTTTATTTTTATTTGCATAAAATAATAGTTTTGCAAATAAAACATTTAACAAAGACGCCTGGTTTGTTTAGTTATTTGCTTAAGAAGAATAAGTTGGTATAGTGATATATTTTGTGACTTATCCATGCTGCTGATTATCTCATGCTGCTGTATTCATTCATACCCATCTGCTCACCAGACTCATGTTCGTGCTGCTGTTGTTATGCCGTATTATTTTACATTATTAGTGTTTAGTGTATATCTTAGATCTTTATATACTGTTTCTTTTTATACTTTACATTTTACTATTTTTGGGTGTAACTGGGACCCTGTGTACATAATTTTGTTTCACCTCATGAACATGTGATGGAAACGACAATAAAATTGACTTGAAATCAATCTTTTAGATAGTGATAGAGTTGTTGGTCTGAGTCAGTCTAAAAAATTCACTTTTTGTTTGGTAATTCATGAATAAAATTTATATTTTTATAAAGTTGAACTCACCATTTTTACAGTGAATGAGGTCTTCCACCAGTGGCTTGGCAACATCCTCAAACAGCTCAATCTGATTGGTATTTATACCAAAAACCCTTTTAAAGGAGTATTGAGTCTGGAAAAATGATTTTAAAAATGTAAAAATAATAATACATTTGCTCAGACAAGATTTTTTTGTTAAAAATAGATATAAGATAACATGCCTCATAAATTCAGGTTACTTGTGAAGCAGGAAAAAAACCTGCATCCCACTTACCTCCTTATATTCACCATTGCGGTTGGCTTTCAGGCCATTGGGGGCATGCAGCTGAATTGTGGTGTTACTGATCATCTCAATACAACATTCCTCATTTTCAGCACCAATGGGACGTATACGACAGTAAACCTTAAAAAAAGTACATTTTAAAATTAGGTATATAGGTCAGGGCTATTCAACAAAACTTTTTGGTCAGTGAGCCACAGTTTCCAACATCCAGCACTTAAAATCAATATGTTAATAAACTAAGTTTTACTTTTTTTTTTAATGAAGTGGGCTGGTTTGAAGTCAGCCGCGGGCCAGAAAGGGCCAGTGAGTCACCAGTTGAACAGCCCTGGTATAGGTTGTTTTAGAACAAGTAGCTTCAAAACAAATACGATTCAAGTACAAACTACTGTGCCTTGCGAAAGTATTCAGCCCCCTTGAACTTTTCAACATTTTGCCACATTTCAGGCTTCAAAACATAAAGATATAAAATTTAAATTTTTTGTGAAGAATCAACAAGTGGGACACAATCATGAAGTGGAATGAAATTTATTGGATGTGTCAAACTTTTTTAACAAATAAAAAAAACTGAAAAGTGGGGCGTGCAATATTATTAGGCCCCCTTGCGTTAATACTTTGTAGCGCCACCTTTTGCTGCAGTTCCAGCTGCAAGTCTCTTGGGGTTTGTCTCTGTCAGTTTTGAACATGGAGACACTGAAATTCTTGCCCATTCTTTCTTGCAAAACAGCTCGAGCTCAGTGAGGTTGGATGGAGAGCGTTTGTGAACAGCAGTCTTCAGCTCTTTCCACAGATTCTCGATTGGATTCAGGTCTGGACTTTGACTTGGCCATTCCAACACCTGGATACGTTTATTTGTGAACCATTCCATTGTAGATGTGTCTTTATGTTTTGGATCATTGTCTTGTTGGAAGATAAATCTCCGTCCCAGTCTCAGGTCTCTTGCAGACTCAAACAGGTTTTCTTCCAGAATGGTCCTGTATTTGGCCCCATCCATCTTCCCATCAATTCTGACCATCTTCCCTGTCCCTGCTGACGAAAAGCAGGCCCAAACCATGAAGCTGCCACCACCATGTTTGACAGTGGGGATGGTGTGTTCAGGGTGATGAGCTGTGTTGCTTTTACAACAAACATATCATTTTGCATTGTGGCCAAACAGTTAGATTTTGGTTTCATCTGACCAGAGCACCTTCTTCCACATGTTTGGTGTCTCCCAGGTGCTTGTGTCAAACTTTAAACAACACTTTTTATGGATATCTTTGAGAAATGTCTTTCTTCTTGCCAATCTTCCATAAAGGCCAGATTTGTGCAGTGTACGACTGATTGTTGTCCTATGGACAGACTCTCCCACCTCAGCTGTAGATCTCTGCAGTTCATCCAGAGTGATCATGGGCCTCTTGACTGCATCTCTGATCAGTCTTCTCCTTGTTCCAGATGAAAGTTTAGAGGGACGGCCGGGTCTTGGTAGATTTGCAGTGGTCTGATACTCCTTCCATTTCAATATGATTGCTTGCACAGTGCTCCTTGGGATGTTTAAAGCTTGGGAAATCTTTTTGTATTCAAATCCGGCTTTAAACTTCTCCACAACAGTATCTCGGACCTGCCTGGTGTGTTCCTTGGTCTTCATGATGCTCTCTGCTCTTTGAACAGAACCCTGAGACTATCACAGAGCAGGTGCATTTATACGGAGACTTGATTACACACAGGTGGATTCTATTTATCATCATCAGTCATTTGGGACAACATTGGATCATTCATAGATCCTCACTGAACTTCTGGAGTGAGTTTGCTGCTCTGAAAGTAAAGGGGGCCCAATAATAGTGCACGCCCCACTTTTCAGTTTTTTATTTGTTAAAAAAGTTTGACACATCCAATAAATTTCATTCCACTTCACGATTGTGTCCCACTTGTTGTTGATTCTTCACAAAAAATTAAAATTTTATATCTTTATGTTTGAAGCCTGAAATGTGGCAAAAGGTTGAAAAGTTCAAGGAGGCTGAATACTTTTGCAAGGCACTGTATATATATATTTTAGTATTTACTATAAAATTATTTTTCAGACAAACCAACTATTTCTGAAGAATCTCTAGATGAATAAAACATAAATTTTAATTTATTTTGAGTGTAGCTTACGCCCACAGGATCTCTCTCTACACTGGTCTGCTTCTTGAGGACAGGCCTCCGAGGAGTCTTCCCTTTGCTGTGAAAAAGCAAAGCAATTAAAACTGAAACACATTGCATAATTTATTATGGCACCAAAAACTTTTTTTTGGTTCTGGTCTATGCCAAATGATCAGAAAAATATTTATTTGAGTCTTTGAGACAAGAGCGCTATCCACAAAGTTAGGAACATTTTTAATAAGCCTTATTCCCCAGAGAGTGACAAACAAAATCACAGTAAAATATGCAGCAAATGATCAGTGTAATTTTCATCAATAAAGCCTTTTGAGGTACAGACAAAGTACATCATATAATAAAGAATTTAATTATTATGGGTCTCAGAAACATGTAAAACCTGGTTTTCTTTTTAATTAAAATTAATTTTTATCATTTGTTCCTTGGCGTGGACATTAGGACTTATTTCATCTCAAAATTGAGCGGAACCGTGTCCTAGTTGGTAGAGTTGTTGCCCCTCAGCAAGGTCACCGGATCAAATCCCGGCCAGGGGGACCTTTCTGGGTGGAGTTTGCATGTTCTCTTGTCTCGTGCATGCGTGGGGTTTCTCTGGGTACTATGGTTTCCCCCCACAGACGAAAAACATGCATGTTGGACTGATTGGTAACTCTAAATTGTCCCTAGGTGTGAGTGAGAGAGTGAATGGTTGTTTGTCTCCATGTCCCTGTGATGGACTGGAGACCTGCCCAGGGTGTCCCCCGCCTCTCGCACAGTGACTGCTGGACATGGGCACTAGTGACCCCCCCATGACCCATAAAAAAAGAAGCAGGTAAAATACAATGGATGGATGGGTGGATTGACGATATCAGAATAAAATGGTTTGATGTAACAACCCAGTGTTTGTTTAACTATAATTAGGGACTGAATGATAAAAAAAATAAAAACTTGCAACGTGCAATGTGATTGTTTAATTTTGCAATGATATAAGCTGTGATGAACAAACATTTTCCTCACTTTCTCTTTTGTCATATCAGATAAACCAGAAGTGGACCAGGACCTCAGAGTGAGTCTGTTAAATGGACTAAATAAAGTACATTAGCTTAAAGAACATGAATGCACAGTTCTTGAATTATATTGGCCTATTTTTTGCCTTTTAATTGTTTTGGGAGCCGCTGGTGGTCAGTGCCATGGTCTTGTAACTCTGAGGTTGCGGGTTTGAGTCCAGGTTGTCAGGAAGAGCATTTGGCTTAACAATTACCGATAAATCTTTCATGCAAGTTCGCTCGCTGTGGCAACCCCTGAAGAATGTCACAGCCAAATTTACTTTATTTGCCTTTAATTGGAGTCTTAGCAGTCTTTTGTGGTATTGACCATTATACTCACGGATAATGTAATGATAACTTCTGATATATTGTGCAGCCCTATAGTAATTGGTTTTCTTTAAAGGTTGGATAAATGTTTGATGTACCAGTAGTTTTTTTCTAAAAATCAACACCACATACTAACACTGCTACATACCCAAAAACTGATCATGTTTGTTAAAAACTGCATTTTTTTCAGTGCATACATTTTCTAAATAAAGGTTGAATGAATTTTAACTACAATGGGATAAAAACTAAATGAATAGCCCAAGTATTCATTGTCTTTTTTGGTGAACGTGTTAAACACATTAACATTCTCACAACGTACAGAAAAGGAGTAAAAGATGTGCTGGTTCAGTGTTCTCAGAAGATTGTCTAAATTCTTCTGAACTTCAGCATCCAGATCTCAGACCCTCATCTGCCTCATATTTTGACTTTTTTTTTGCCTGATATAATATTATTTCTGCACAAAACTTTTTTTTCCCTCAGCTTTATAAATAAGAAAAGGGTTTAAATGGGATTCAATGGGTACTGATGTACACAACAGAATTAAATTAGATTATAAGAACTTAAAGGGAGTGTACAATAATGTAGTCAGGCTGAATTAAAGTTAAGAACCTTTCTTTGAAGTTAGAACTTGATTTTATATTTGAATTAAATAATTAGTGAAAATTGCTCTATATCATGTGTGTGAAAAAGAAAGTCCTGGTGATCTGTAACTATAAGCCCTCAGGTGACGTCATTATTTTATCTTCGCTGTACGAAATAATTTTAAAAGATTTTATAACGTGCTTAACTAATGTCAGACTAATGTCCACTAAAAGGAACAATAATCGTTTGCAGGATCTCAGGGGGACAAAATTATATTTTATGATGTAATGAAAGAATTAAAGAATGAACATGCTAACGTGTTAGCCAAATTAGCTCAACTGCACTAATAGACAAAATTAAATAAATCTAAAGCCGCAATAATACAGGACATTTTAATTTAATCACAGGTCCGTTATGTTTTAGTTAAACTTATTGGATGGTGTGTGAAGTGAATACTGTACTGAGCTGACCAGATAGCGACTAGCGCTAACCAGTTGTTTTGCTACAGTGAAAAGCTAACGTCCTACAGCAATGACCATCTTTAGCATGAAACAACAAGCTACTCCTAACAGAAATTGCCCGCGTAACAGAAACATGTGCTTTACTGTACTGAATGTATTTTTGATTAATACAAAAACACATTACTAACCCTCCTCTTTGCATTGTTGTGAAGTTCCTCTCAGCTACTCGCAGAAGCGCCTCAGTTCTTGATTTGAAAAATTCCCTCTTGTGAACGTTATTCCGAGAGTCATATACTTTAACCAATCACAATGCAGAGAACGTTCCTACACCGGAAGTCCCGCCTATATTTCAAGAGTCATCAATTTGAACCAATCACAACGCGCGTACGGAATCTTGACACAATAGCCCCGCCTATACTTCCTGATCTTCCGTTTACTGGTCCTGGATCAGCAAAGCTAAATTTTATTTATATTTAATGATAGTTTTTGGCGCCAATAAATAAATACTTTTTTTTTTTACCTCAAATTCGTAGATGAATCGTAACCATTTGTGTGTACAATTTCACTGCAAATGTTAGAAATAGTTGATACTTTGTGCACAACATATTTTTTTGTGATATAACACTTTTACTTGAAATTAAGCAAACGAAAATCATGATATAAAAGTACTTAAATATGTAAAACCTAAACCATGAATATGTCCTAATTCAGTAGCTGTCAAAAGTTCATTTACACAAATGTCAGGCTTGATGACTGATTTGAACAGGGTGAATATGCAACACACAACTGTAATGAGTGTTTTAAATCAAGAATTGGGGCACAGTTCATATGAGTTATTGGTGTTATTTTTCATAATCCACACGTCAAATTGGGGGAAAAAAAATCACTAAAATATACTGCACACTTTCTTGACCCTGATAAAGTAGTGACACATTAAGCTGTATTTACATACAAATGTTTACTCTGATGAGCCTTGCCTGCTTGATGGCAGCACGATGGCTTAGTGGTTAGCAGCACTGTTGCCTCACAGCAAGGTCGTTGGTTCAATCCCTGGTTGGACCTGGGGTCTTTCTGTGTGGAGTTTGCAAGTTCTTCTCGTGCTTGCGTGAGTTTTTTCCAAGTACAGTGAACCCTCGTTTTTCACTGGGGTTACGTTCCAAAAAGAACCCGTGATCGGCGAAATCCGTGAAGTAGTAACCTTTTTTTTTTTTTTTTTTTTTTACAATTATACAATGAAATACTCCATAATACATTCAAACCAAAGAACAAAACCTTTTTACAGGCCCAAGCATTTGTTTAACAAATAAAAGTATTGTATAAACATTTTTTACAAATAACTACTGTACTGGAGAGACTGTTTAGCCAATCAGAATGCAGAACACAATGCACGATGCAAATCCGTGAAGCAGCGAGACCGTGAAAGGTGAACCGCGTTACATCGAGGGTTTACTGTACTCCAGTTAACTCCCACATACCAAAAACATGCATGTTAGGCTGCCTTCAGGCCCAGGCCTCCCTTGCAAAAGAGATCTGTGATCTCAATGGGATTTGCCTGATTAAATAAAGCTTAATAAATAAAAATTTGAAACTCGAGTTATGCAGAAATGACTGGACTTTCCCAATGTGTAAATATTCTTGGATCTTTACTGGGTTCCTTGGACATTCCTGTTGTTGAGAGTTTATCAATCCAACCAGTGATTCCAAACCAATCTTTTTCATGCAAGCAAAGAAACTACCAGTTTGAGTCAATCACGCTCAACAGGAAGATAAAAGGCCTTGGCAGGTTAAAAAGCATTCTTGAACCTTCAGCATTGCTCAGATAAAGCAATTAATGTGTGTTTGAGCCTTTTGTGAACAACAGAAAAATTGCTAAATTCAAACACGTGCACCCAATTTGTTTTAAAATATTGCATGATATTACCCTGGAAGAGATTGTTGTTCAAAAATACAAAACTGATTCCAAAAAAGTTGGGACACTAAACAAATTGTGAATAAAAACAATGCAATGATGTGGAGATGGCAAATGTCAATATTTTATTTGTAATATAACAGATGACAGATCAAAAGTTTAATCTGAGTAAATGTAACATTTTAAAGGAAAATATGTTGATTCAAAATTTCAGTGTCAACAACTCCCAAAAAAGTTGGGACAAGTAGCAATAAGTGGCTGGAAAAAGGAAATGATCATATAAACAAACATCTGGAAGACCAACTAACACTAATTAGGTCAACTGACAACATGATTGGGTATAAAAAGAGCTTCTCAGAGTGTCAGCGTCTCTCAGAAGCCAAGATGGTAAGAGGATCACCAATTCCACCATTGTTGCGCAGAAAGATAGTGTAGCAATACCAGAATGGTGTTACCCAACGTAAAATAGCAAAGACTTTTAAGTTATCATCATCAACCGTGCATAACATCATCAAAAACATTCAGAGAATCTGGAACAATCGCTGTGCGTAAGTGTCAAGGCTGTAAAACTCTACTGGATGCTCGTAATCTCCGGGCCCTTAAACGTCACTGCACCTCAAACAGGAATGCCACTGTCAAGAAAATAACAGAATGGGCTCAGGAATACTTCCAGAAAGCATTGTCAGTGAACACAATCCACCGTGCCATCCGCCGTTGCCAGCTGAAACTCTACAGTGCAAAGAGGAAGCCATTTCTAAGAAAGCTCCACAAGCTCAGACGTTTGCACTGAGCCAGGGGTCATTTAAAATGGAGTGTGGCAAAATGGAAGACTGTTCTGTGATCAGATGAGTCACGATTTGAAGTTCTTTATGGAACACTGGGACGCCATGTCATCCAGACCAGAGAGGACAAGGATAGCCCAAGTTGTTATCAACGCTCCGTTCAGAAGCCTGCGTCACTGATGGTATGGGGTTGCATGAGTGCTTGTGGCATGGGCAGCTTGCATGTCTGGAAAGGCACCATTAATGCAGAGAACTATGTTCAGGTTCTAGAACAACATATGCTCCCAACTAGACGTCATCTCTTTCAGGGAAGACCCTGCATTTTTCAGCACAATAATACCAGACCACATTCTGCAGCAATCACATCATGGCTAGGTAGGAGAAGGATCTGGGTACTGAAATGGCCAGCCTGCAGTCCAAATCTTTCACCTATACAGAACATTTGGTGCATCATAAAGAGGAAGGTGCGACATAGAAGGCCCAAGACGATTGAACAGTTAGAGGCCTGTATTAGACATGAATGGGAAAGCATTCCTATTTCTAAACTTGAGAAACTGGTCTCCTCTGTCCCCAGACGTCTGTTGAGTGTTAGAAGAAGGGGGACGCCACACAGTGGTAAAAATGGACTTGTCCCAACTTTTTTGGGATTTGACACCATGAAATTTGGAAACAACAGATTTTTCCCTTAAAATGATACATTCTCTCAGTTTAAACTTTTGATCTGTGATTTGTGTTCTATTCTGAATAAAATATTAGATGTTGGCACCTCCACATCATTGCATTTAGTTTTTATTCACAATTTGTTTAGTGTCCCAACTTTTTTGGAATCCGTTTTGTAAATAATATTGAGAAAAGACACCTTCACGCCCATGACTTAAAACATTGATCACAGGAATTTATAAAAATGTATCACTATTTAGGCTGACCAAGAAAGGCAGATTTTAAAGTAAAAGCTAAATTTGATTACAAAGAAAAAGCAGTGAATGTTTATGGTTTTAATCTTTGGTGATCCTTATGGCTTTTACTGATCAGATTGATGTTTAGAATAATGGGTGTACACAGTAATTGCACCAAGGTCTGGGTCACCATTTATTTCTTCGCATTTTGTGTTCAATGGGCTCATTTTTTTTTTGTTTGGCCTTTAATTTTAGAGTAACTAGCTGTAGATTTGTGAAATTATTAAAAATGTACAATGAAACAACTTTGCTTGATTGTCCAAAACTGTCACCCCCCCCCCCCCCCCCAAAAAATGAAGGAAAAAAAAAAAAAAACTATTGGCAAATTATTGGTTAAACCAATAAGAAAACTTTGTAAGAAGCACAGGTATGGGTTAAAGTTTATTTGAAAAAAATTACAATAAATAAAACATTGCACTTGAATACTTTTTCTTTAAACATTTAGCTTTAAAAGGACAAATGTAACAATAAATGGGACAGACAACTCCTTTGACCAAAGGCAAATGGAAAACAATAGCCCGGATTAAAAAAAGTTTCCACACTATCAGTAACCAAACACTCAGTTTAGGAAGCAGCTACTTTGCTTGTAACTCAAACAATTTGTCATCATCTCTTGCCAGAAGAATATAGTGCAAACCAAGAGGCTGAGTACAATTATTATTAAGATACAGAGGTAAAAAATTCAAGTTTTAAAAAGTGATTTTACATCTTCACAAGTTTTTGTTCCCCTGGCCTCTCCTCATTCACCAATTATGTGGCAATCAGAAAATAGTGAGAAATCTTCACATAGAAAGCACCGTCATTTCATGTAGAAAGTGTGCTCCATTTGTTGCTTTAAGCAAGAAGGTTTCCTTATAAACAGTGTTAAAAAATGCTGATAAAATTTAAGTCGCATTTCGATCATTCTAGAAACTTGTGCTCTCAATTTCAGCTCACCAATACTTTCACAGCAGCCTGCGGTGTTGATACGTTTAAAGACAGCATTTTTTACCCACATTGCATTGCTCTTTGTAACTGGTGCGATTGAGAGTTCGTAACAGTGGATTGAGAGTTAGTAACAATGACAAAATTTGTTCGAGACCTTTGGTTCGTTGCCATGTTTGCCCTCTTGACACCCCGAGGCAGAAAGGAGAGGTAAACTGAAGAGGAGGATGAGAACCAAATTCATGAGCACACAAAGCAGCCCTGAGCCCACCGAGCTGCCAAATGTGATGGGAATGGAGTTAGCGGAGAGCCAGGCTCGCCTCGTCACCATGTCCTGCTCTATGGACTGTATCTGGAGCAGGGTGCTGAAGATGGCGCACACATGGAAGAGCTGATGGCTGTGACCTGCAGAGGGAGCAGTCAGTCACTTGTTACAACTCAGGATGAATGTACTCTCACCTTCAGCACACAGCAAATCATTCACAGCCACTTTGTTCTTGAAAACAAAAATCTGGAGTTAGTTAAGCATTAAAATTATTTCACAATGTTTAACATAGAATAGATTACACTGAAAACCTGTTTGAGGTTAAAAAATATATATAATCTGGCATAAGAATGTGAGCTACTTTGTCTCAGACTTTATATCCAGCATCAACTTACAATCACAGTTTGTTATTCAAATCAGTAAACTTGTCTTATTTTTGTTGTTGTTTTTTTGTTTTTTGTACTGCATGTTTTAGGTTAGATCTGATTTTTGACCTGCCTTCAAGTGTAATTTTTATTTATTTATTTTTAAACATGAAGGTCGGAATTTCAAAGTCTCGAGAAAGAAATGAACTAGAACGACTCCCGAAGTCGGAATTAGGACATAGAAAGCCCCTGACCTTAAACTATAGTGCTTGAATGCTTAAAATGTTTTGTCAACTTGAATTTCTACTGACCAAGACAATGGAAACATTGTGCTGCTTTTCAGACTTGCAACTGAATCAGTTTTTGATAATGTTCTAACAAGTGAGGAGAGTGTGACGGGGAGAAGGAAGGAGTACTTTAAGGAGCCAATGAATGAAGACAAGAGAAAGAAGAGTAGTGGTTATGGAAACTGGACCATGAAGTGGAAAAGATTAGTGAGGTTGAAATTCGGACAGCTCTGAAAAGAATCAAGAAGGGGAAGGCAGTACGATCTGATGACGTAGTGGAGGTTTGGTAACGTCTAGGAGAAATGGCAGTGAGGTTTTACACTCAAATATTCAATGGTATATTTGAGGGTGAGAAAATGCCTGAGGAATGGAGGAGAAGTGTGCTGGTGCCCATTTTTAAGAACAAGGGTGATGTACAGCGTTGTAGCAACTAGAGGGGAATTAAGTTGATGAGTCACACAATGAAGATCTGGGAGAAAGTTGTGGAAGCAAAACTTAGAAAAGAGGTGACCATTTGTGAGCAGCAGTATGGTTTCATGCCAAGAAAGAGCAGCACAAATGCCATATTTGTCTTGAGGATGCTGATGGAGAAGTACAGAGGGGGTCAGAAAGAACTCCATTGTGTCTTTGTGGATTAAAAAAAAATCATGACAGGGTGCCAAAGGAGGAGTTGTGGTATTGCATGAGGAAATCTGGCATGTCAGAAGAATGTTAGACTGGTATGACATGTATGAGGACAGCAGGAAAGTGGTGAGATGTGCTGCAGGAGTGACAGATAGCTTCAAGGTGGAGGTGGGACTGCATCAGGGATCAGCTTTGAGCACCTTCTTGTTTACTCTGGTGATGGATTGACTAACAGATGAGGTCAGGCAAGAATCCCCATGGACGATGACGTTTGAAGATGACGTTGTGATCTGTGGTGAGAGCAGGGAACAGGTGGAAAAGAACTTGAAGAGGTGGAGGTATGCACTTGAAAGAAGAGACATGAAGGAAGAGGCATGAAAGTCAGGCGTAGTAAGAGTGCATGTGTGAATGAGAGGGAGGCATGCAGGGGAACAGTGAGGCTGCATGTGCAGAGGTCACAAAGGTGCAGGACTTCAAGCACTTGGGGTCCCACAGTCTAGGAAAATGGGGAGTGGTAAAGAGGTGAACAAGAGACCAGGCAGGATGGAGTGGATGGAGAAAAGTTTCAGGAGTGATTTGCAACAAAAGTGTCAGCAAAGGTCAAAGGAAAAGTTTGCAGGGGAGATCAGTTACAGTTACGCCGGTCAACTCCCTGGACTGACATTAAAATGTGGGTAGAAAATGTGAAACACCCACACCTGCCTCCACCCTCATTTTCCCCATTCTGGGCCCATGAACAAGTCCATTAACCCCTAGCTTCTCCACAGGCACCTTAAGGGTGCATTCACACCAGCCCCGTTTAGTCCGCTTTAATCGAACTCTAGCTCGTTTTCCTAGAAAGTCCAATTCGTTTAGGGAGGTGTAAACGCACCAGCGAACTCTGGCCCAGGCTAAAACCTAGGTCTCGGTCCGGTAGAAGCGAACTCCAGCGCAGTTCGAGTACAGTGTGAATGTAAACAGACCAGACCCGGTCCACAGGGTAAACACACATTTCTCTGACCTTATATGGAGCAGTCAGCTGCCTTGTGTGGAAAAACAATATTCTCCATGGTCTTCTGTCTCATTTTCTGCTCATGCTAAATCCATTTTTGAAAAATGACAAAATATAACTCTTAAAACTGCTAAAACTTGATGCCACTTCATTTTTATTTTTATTTACAGAAGAAGAAGACGTGTCTTTAAAGGTTTTGTCGTTTCTTTCAGTAGTTCTTGGTGCAGCGCCCCCACAAGCGAGCGGGGGAATAGGTTGGTTCAACAGGTTGGCTCGACTGCACAGTGCAGTGTGAATGCAAACGCACCAGCTCAAATGTAAACAAAATTTCATGAATATTGGTCCCGAACCGAGTCTACCGGACTATCTGGTGTGAAAACGACCTAAATGGCATCCCACTGGTTCACATGTGTGCTCAAACGTGCACTGGGAAAAATGCAAATAATCATTTTCCCTATTGGGGATTAATAGTTTACAATAAATAAAAAAAAGTTAGAGGCCAGACCAAGTAAATCATCTGGAGACGTGTGTAAGTGGTCAATACTGAGTCAATAAGGCAAACATTAAATTCTCAAGACGATACCCATTGATTGAATCAGTCATACCTATGAAGTCGAAGCTACCAGGTGCCAGACGTTCAGGTAAATGTGCAACAAACAGAAAACCTGTGAGGAAAGCCAAGGTGATGTGCTTGTAGTGTAGAACAGTGGTTTCATTGTCTGTGCAGCCCTCCCCTTCACATAGGAAAACCTGGAAGAACACACAATGTGTCAGAACAACAGTATTTTACAACAGCTGCAGCAGAGGAGGAGAATGAGAAGGAAATCATGGAGAAATCAAGCTACACCATGACTCAAGTGCCAAAATAAATAAATAAAGATCCAAGTCAAAACCTAAGGTTGAGTTTTGTCCTCTAGATAGATTCTTGTTTTACGTTGTCTTATCCAAAAGACTTTCCTCCACTCCTTGAACCACCACCTTATGGTGGAGGAGTTTGTGTGCCTGAATAATCCTAGGAGCTATGCTGTCGGGGGGCAATTATAATTGCCCCCGACAGCATAGCTCCAGGGACAGGGGTGCTGGCAGGTGTGCCAGCTGGAAACTCCTTTATTCTGCTGGGGGTAAAACGACTGAACTGGAGGGGCGTGATTGGGAGGAACGGCCAATCTGATCTGAACTAGAGCAGTTTTCTGTTGTTGGACTTCTGTGCTTGTCAGTTTGTCCATCAAAAAAAATCACGTTTGAACATAAAGGGAGTCCATAAGTGCACTTGGCACCAGGACACCCTATGTCATACATAGATGATTGACTTCATAGTCTTGTCATCTGATTTGCAGCCATTCGTTTGGGACACTCTGGTGAAGAGGGGAGCTGAGCTGTCAACTGATCACCACCTAGTTGTGAGCTGGAACAGATGACAGGGGAAGATCTGGACAGACCTGGTAAATCCAAATGTGTAGTGAGGGTTTGCTGGGAACGCCTGGCAGAAGAATCTTGTCAGAGAAATCGTCAACTCACACCTCCATGAGAGCTTAAACTGTATCCAAGCTGAGGCGGGGGTCATTTAGTCTGAGTGGGTCATGTTCCGCACCTCAATTGTTAAGGTAGCTTCCTTGAGCTGTGACCGCAAGATTGTTGGTGCTTCTCGCAGTGGCCATCCACAAACTCAGTGGTGGACACCCCGGGTTAGGGAGGCTGTCAAGCTGAAAGGGGAATCTTATCAGGCATTGCTGGCCATTGGGACTCCCGGAGGCAGTTGGAGTACCAGAGGGCCAAGCAGTCCACAGCCCTGGCTGTTGCTGAGGCAAATGCTTGAATGTGGGAGGATTTTGGTGAGGTCTTAGAGACCATCAGCTCCAAGGATATTTTGGCAAACCTTCAGGCAGCTGAGGAGGGGAAAGCAGCACTTTCACTTTCACTTCACTGTGTTCAGTAAAGGTGGGGTGCTGTTGACCTCAGCCAGTGATGTCGGAAGAGAAAAGAATAATTCTCAGACCTTCTCAATCTCACCAGCATGCCTTTCAAGGAGGAAGCTAGTTGGGGGACTTTGGGGGTTTTCTGTCCATAACCATGGCTGAGGTCGCAGAGGTAGTTGACAAGCTTCACGATAGCTGGACTCCGAGGGTGGATGAGATTCCCCCAGATTTCCTTAAGGCTCTGGATGTGGGGCTGTCTTGGTTGACATGCCTTTGCAACATCGCGTGAACATCAGGGGCAGTGCCACTGGATTGGCAGACTGGGGTGGTGGTTCCCCTCATCAAAAGGGGGACTGGAGGGTGTGCTCCAATTATAGGGTATTACTCTTTTTAGCCTCCCTGGTAAGGTCTCTTCAGGGGTACTAGAGAAGAGTCTGATCGTTTGTTGAACCTCAGATCCAGGAGGAACAATGCGAGTTCTGTCCTGGCTGTGGAACACTGGATCAGCTCTTTACTATCACTAGAATCTTCGACGGGTCATGGGAGTTTGCCCATCCAGTCTACATGTGTTTTGTGGACTTGGAGAAGGCTTTCAACACTGTTCCTCGAGGTACACTGTGGGTGTTGCTCCACGAGTATGGGATTGGGGGCCCGTTGTTACGGGCTGTTCGGGTCCCTTTACAAGTAGTGCGAGAGTTTGGTTCGCATTCCCGGTAGCAAATCTGACCCTTTCAGGGTGAGAGTTTGACTCCGCCAGAGCTGCTCATTGTCACAGATTCTGTTCGTAACTTTTATGGACAGAATTTCTCGGTGCAGGCAGGGGTAAGAGGGATTCCAGTTCGGTGGCCTCAGGATTCCATCTCCATTTTCAGATTATACGGTCATGTTGGCGTCATCGTACAATGATCTTCAGCTCTCACTGGAGCGGTTCGCAACAGAGTGAAGCATCTGGGATGAAAATCAGTACCTCCAAATCTGAGGCCATGGTGCTCAATTAGAAAAAGGGTGGATTGCTGTCTTTGAGCCAAGAATGAGGTTCTGTCTCAAGTGAAGGAGTTCAAGTATCTATGGGTTTTGTTCATGAATAAGAGAAGAATGGAGCATGAGATTGTCATTCGGATTGGTGCAGCAGTTGCAGTATTGTGGACTCTGTGCTGGTCCTTTGTGGTGAAAAGAGCTGAACAGTAAGGCAAAGCTCTGTTTATTCGTCAGTCTACCTTCCTGCAGTCACCTATGGTAACCAACTCTGGGTAGTACGCAAAAGAAAAATCATGGATACAGGCGTTTAAAAAAAAAAAAAAAAAGTTTCCTCCACAGGGTAGCTGGACTTTCCCTCAGAGATAGGGTGAGAAGATCATTTATCTGGGAGAGACTCGAGAGTAGAACCGCTGCTCCTCCACATCGAGTGGAGCCAGTTCAGGTGGTTCGGGCATCTGGTAAGGATGCTCCCTGCATTCGGGCATCTGGTAAGGATGCTCCCTGGGCACTTCCCTAGAGAGGTGCTTCAGGGATGTCCGACTGAGAGGAGACCCCGGGGAAGACCCAGAACATGCTGGAGAGACTACATCTCTCAGTTGGCCTGGGAACACCTTGGAATCCTTCCAGAGGAGCTGGAAGAGGTGGCTGCAAAAAGAGATGTCTGGGCCTCCCTGGTCAAGCTGCTGTCCCCGTGACCTGACTTGGAAACAAGCAGAACATAATTGAGGGACTTTGTCAGATTGAGGATCTGCAACAAACTCAGTCTTATAAATGGCACCTTCTCATAGTGGATCATATAGTTTGTTGCCGACAGCCAGAACTAGCTACTCGCATGTAAGAGGACGACCATCAGCCAAACAATTGCTTGTTAGTGCCCTGATGGCTGCTTGCTATTCACAGAGTGCTGAGTGATACTAGCAATAACAGCATTGTAAGAAGGTGATGGTTGAATATGAGGCCTCCGCCCCCGTTTAATGATGGATGGGTTCTTTTCACAAAGATGGCTTCCTTCGCTCCTCTCTCAAACAAACGTTCCTCTCCATCGATGTGCACATCTTCATCCCTGAAAGAGTGACCACTGGCATGCAGATTAGTGTAGACTGCAGGGTCATGGCCTGATGTTGCTCTTCTGTGCCGGGCCATACTTTTGACCAGTAGCTGTTTAGTTTACCCAATGTATGACTGATCACAGCCCTCGATCATGACACTTAACAGCGTATACCTGTACAATATTGCTCTGTACTGGGGAACTGGGTCTTTGGGATAGACCAGGCTTTGTCGCAATGTATTTTGGCGTTTAAAAGCCACTGGGACGTTATGTTTAGAAAATAAATGTCTCAGTTTCTCTGAAAACACCCGCAACATACAGAATGACCACTGGTTTGGGTTCCTCCTTTTCAATCGATGGCTGGCTGGAGTCCTGTTTGGGTTTCTTCTGCTTTCACAAAGGCCCAGTTAGGATATCTACATTGCTCCAGGACCTGTCTTGTGTGAGATTTCTCCTTTTGCCTGGCTCTTGGGTTAGTGGGAACGATGTCCACTCTGTGTTACAGAGTCCTGATGACTCCTAGCTTGTGCTTCAGAGGGTGATGGGAGTCGAAGCACAAATACTAGTCTGTGTGGGTGGGTTTGTGGTACACCTCAGTTTGCAAATGTCCTCCATCAAAGACAGACTTCACAGTTGAAGAAAACCAACCTACCATTTTTTTTTACATCTTCTTGTGTGAACTTTATACATTTATCCACAGAGTTGATGTGATTGGTGAAATGTTGCACTTCCTGAGATTTTAACCCTGTTGTCATCAGCATACCTGAACCAATGACTGTGTCCCTGAAAAGGACGTCAAGGCTCTCTTTTCTACCTATGCCATGTACAGGTTGGCAACAATAGGAGAAACTGAAGACCCCATAGCACATCCATGTTTTTGCCCATTATACTGCCCCCATATGTGAAGTAGGTTTACTGCAGGCAGTCTCACACTGTAAACATTGGCTTTGAGTAACAAGCTGCTGCCTCACATTTGAGAGCAGACAGCCTTTCTGAAGGGATGCAAGCTTAGACAGAAGGTATAAATGTAACAATGTGCAGCAAGAAAATGCATTCAAATTCTCAAACCAGTTGAAGTTTCAACAACATATTTAAATCTGACAGAACTGCCTACAAAACCAACCACAACTGTTAAAGTAGCCATGCTACGATATGAGGCGTGAAACGGCCCTACCCTGTAGAACAGAGGAATGTTGTCGAACATGTATGGGTAGATGAAGGCAACAGCACGGAGGAATTTGCTGAACTTTGGATTGTGATGCTCATGGAATCTGAAATAAGAAAAAAAAATATATATATTTCTTATTAAAGTGGGAAAAAAGTAGATTACATCCAATAATGTAACTATTTAAGGGAATATATAAATGCATAAATATGTAAACTATTGTTACTTCATAGCATAATCTTGAAAAATATCGTTTTAGACTTAACCGTTTTTTGGTTTGCATTGCAAGAGAACTGTATCTAGAAGGTATGATTAAAAAAAAAAAAAAGATTCTTGTTTATACTGTGTGATACAATTCTGTTTTAGCTTTGATTTTCTCACAGTAAAGTGAGTCAGTTATTCAGCTGGTTAAGCAACACATTCTGCTGCTCCTCGTTTCAGGTGAAACCATGGTCCGGTCCCCGTTTAGGTCCAAACCTTTTACACCATTGTCAGACAACACCCATTGTGTTAAAGAAAAAAAAAAAAAGATTTATGTTTGAAATGCCACGAGGCATTTGAACATGTCAATTTGGAAAAACACCAAGAGAAGTCCATGCACGCTTCTTGATAGATTGTAAAGGTTTGCTACTCAACTTCGACACTAAAGAGCATTTCATGGAGCGTTACAGATTTTTATATAAAAATGTTTTACCTTTGTATGATATCATGGCTATATTGTAGAAATGGGAAGCCAAGTCTAAACAGACAGAAGAGAGAGAAAGAACACATTCACATGAAGTCAGTGCTGGAAATACAAAGTGCTGTTCTGTTAAATTTATTTTCAAAATAATTTTACATCCTCATTCTTAATTAAAATAATAATAAAAAAAAAACACTTAATAAATCAGCTGTTGATTAGTTTTATTCAACTTTTCTCAAGGGCTCAGAGTGGGACAATTGAGGGTGGAGGCAGGTGTGGATGCCTCACCTTATCCACCCACATTTCTGGTGTTGGTCCAAGAACTCACACCAGCAACTTTTCAATCACAGCCATCTCTAACCTCTGCGTCACCCACTCCATTTAATTTCCTGGAGTACAGTTTCAAAATGAGAGGCAGATTTGGACAAATTTAATAAAAATATATACTTTTTACAACAAGGATGTATAGCGCCAGAGCAGGCAATAAATTACAGCTCATGTGCTCCTGGGATGCCTTGGAGATGTTTACAATATAATAGTCGAGAAAAGGTCCAGACGAGTCAGTGACAACAGTGACACCTTGAAAGAAAAATTGTCCCACATTTTTAACATGGTCAACATTCAAGTGACGAAGCCGTGAGCCGGACAAGCAAGAAAATTAAGATACCCCACACAAGTAGAGGCTTCTGGAGAGTCACTCAGAAAAGATAAGATAACTTTATTGATCCTGCAGGAAATATGCTGTTCAGTTTGTTGAAACTCAAGAGATACAAGCTTTAAGTTCAGCTGCATGTTAATAGACAAGCTGCAAACACTTTAATGAATAATTTTAAAAAGTTTGACTCAGTTCAGTTGGTCTTTAAACTTAATGTCAACATTAAGTCTCATGTTGGAATCAGTTTAAAACCAAATCCTTGATAGCTCATCAGTCAGAACTGGGTTTTTTTAAAACCCACTAAAGCCCCCTTGTTAACACTGCTTTTGGATGTTTTGCGTTAACCCTGGATGGGTCCATGAACATTGTGTTTGGGAACAGTGGGAGGTTTGCTCACCACACCTGGAGTAGCAGGACAGCACGGTGGAGATGATGGTGTTGGCCATGGCGATGGGGATGTACCAGCGGTGAAACACGCTGTTCACCCACTTGTCAGGAAAAATGTAGGCTGAATAGACAATTGCTGAGCCTACAACAGGAGAACCACAGCACAAAAACTTTATAATCAGAAGAAATAAAGTTGTATACAATTCAGTATGAAAAAATTATTTCTGAACTTTTACTTTTCAAACTTCAAGTCATAGGAATACAAATCTAAAGTTGTTAATACAACTAATAAACTCTGCGTTCATTTTTATTGAAGCCTAAAACTTAAAAAAAAAAAAAAAAAAAAAAAAAAGAATTTTTGGCAGGATGATCACAGAGGATGAAATTATATTCTGCAGAGTAATGACTATTTAGCAATTCAATACATTTTATTGGACCAGTCCAGAGCTAAGAGCAGAAATCTAGACCACTGATAATTTCTAACGACCAGCCTGGCAGCACAGATTACCCAGGCTGTAGAAACTGAGCGCTCCATAGTCAAAAAAGAAGCAGATGTGTCGTGCCCGCATCGACATGGTGCTGAAGGTGTGAGCGCAGCTCGAGGCCAGAGGGTAAATGCAGCAGGAGATGAGGAAGACCACCAGAGGCCAGGTGAAGGAGTCCTGCCATGCTGCCTGCAGCACCACCACTGACACCAGTTTCCACAGGAAGTACCTGTCGGGAAACAAACGGGTCATTTCAGTCAAGGAGCAAGAACAAAATGAACTTGTGTCATCTGATGATAAAGACAAATATCTGTCTGCACAGGTTGCTTTCATTTTATATACATTATTAAAAGGGCAACAAATTTATAGTTGAACTGGAAGTTCTCAGCTTCAACCTGAGGGTTAAATACACCGTCAGTGTCCTTTTAGCAGGAAGAGAATCATTTAATGTACATACATTTAACACTCGTCTTCCTAAAACTGAGTGACAACACAAACTACATTTATATAGAACGATGATTATTCACCTTCTGGAAGTATAAACACACGTGAGAGCAAAAAGATATTCTTTGATATGGTGCACATCATGTACACTAAATATGGGTGTGCGTACAATGTAAACAGACACTGGTTTCAGGAGGAAAATGTACATCCTATAGTACGTCACTGGTTCATGTTTGCTGAAGGACTGAACACTTGTTATACAACAGGTCAGTTACAAGAAGACTTGGAGGTTTCCTCATGAGAAAACATGATCCATTTGTTGTCTTTAAATTAATTGAGAATTATTCATGTATGACAAGAAAATTTAGAAAACGAGACAAAAGAAAAAAACAGTTTGTTGAGTAGAAAGTCTGTACGAGGAGTGTAATTACACCGCAGCCAATTAGTGATTTTAATGAGCACATAAGAGGAAATATTTACATTTTGTAGCAACTGTTTGTTACACAACAGTCAAGAGCTGTAAAACAAACGAGCTAATCTCATCAGGAGACCGTGTGTGTAACGTGCAGCCACGGTTTCCTTTTCACAGAGCAGTGAACTAACCTGAAGCACCAAACTGCTCATTAGTGACCGGCCTTCAGCTCTGCAAAGGGCCCTTGACTAACACCCATGTGCCTTTAGCATTTTCTAAATAGACCCGCACAAACACCTCCTCCTCCTCCTCCTCCTCACACTGCGCAGTCAAAACAACAAAGATCTCAGCGGAGGGGAACTACAGCGGGGCTCCGAGGGACCGGTAACCTCTGCAGTGACTTTAAATCCTCAGACACACGTAAACAGCAGCGTGCATACAGTCAACATGACTGCATCCTTTCAGCTGACGGAGCAGCTAAAAAGGTGGTGCTCTGCTGTCAAATACTAAACCCACGCAAGTCAAAATTACGTGATGAAGCTCCAATATGTAGAAAACCTTTTTTTTCCTGTTTTGGTTGCTCCCTATTTTAGGGGTTGTCACAGTGAACTAAGTCGCACGAAGACTTGGCAGTTATTTTTACACCGGGTGTCCTTCCTGATGCAACCACAGACACCGAGCTACCACAGCCCTCTGTGTGGAGCAGAGAGCTGCTGTCTATGACACCTGGAGGAGCAGATGTGGGTGGGGGGGGGGGGGGCAAGGTCCTTGCTCAAGGGCTCAGAGTGGGACAAATGAGGGTGGGGGCAGGTGTGGGTGCTTCACCTACCCCACCCACATTTTTGATGTAGTCCGTACCAGGGCTTTAACAGGCGATCTTCCGATCACAGGCCCACTTTCTCTAACCTCTGTGCCACCACTCTCCATAATATGTATAAAAACTACGTATATTAAAAAAAAAAAAGTTAAATCTCAGCAGAATTTTGGAATGAATAGTTCTTGCAAACCGTAAAATAAGAACCTCAGATTAGAAGATAATTCATTCAAATCAGTTCGGTTCATTTTATGTTGCACTAATTTACAATAAAGGTCATGTCAGAAGGTGACCAAGTCCAGGTGGAAACAAAAAAAAAATTAAATTCATTCAGTTAATAAAATTTGGGTGACGTTCACTTCCCCTCCTTTCAGCTGCTGGGGTCGCCACAAAGAGCCAACTTAAATGAAAAATATAGTTTCACTCCTCAGACCTGCAGCTTTAGGATCACATGACCACTGAGCTGCCACAGCCGACAGGTTTTCACTCACAGACATAATGAAATGCACTCGTATGGTCTGCAAGGAAACACTTAATGGTTTATGAAATGTTGGACTTTTCTTTCACTCTTCACCGTCGTTACCTTTTTATTTTATATTGGAAAACATGAACAAAACTATTTTATTTCTGATCTTTTTGCACGTCACCACCCTAACCAAGACTCCCAGGAAGAAAAGGTTGTACTTTGATGGGACGTTCATGGTTAAGAAAAACATAATAAGCCGTTCTGTCATTTTCTCTTGTAAAACTCGCCCTGACAGGCAGATTTCTTGTTATCCCAGCTGCGCTGATAAACATGTCATTTCCCTATAGGGTGTGTAAATACCGTAGTACACATTTGTTTTCCTTCGACATATTTTCTACCATCAAGTTTTAGCAAATAATTTAGGAAACATTTCAGCTTGTACATTTACCTCACAAAACCATAACGTTTGTTCATTTTTAGTCCACATCTATTAGATTTTGATCCAGTCTGCTAAAATTGTAATCCAAATCCACGTACTGCATCTCTCCCTGCATGTAGGTTACTGTGCAAAAGTTTTAAACCAACAATTTGTCAGAGAAATAGAAAATGTCTCGCTGTGTTGAGTCAGTGTTTGATCTTTTGTTGTGTTTTTGAAACAGAAGCCAGTTATTTTCCTTTCACCAACATTCATTTGAGAACATTTTAAATTGAACATACTAGATCCTGAATAAATCGTGAATTTGATACGAGGGATTTTCTTCAGCGTGTCAAGTGAAACACCACGAAGCAGCTGCAGGTCTGTGGGACCCACATGGCTGCTGAGCTGATCACATCTGAACAAAGTGTGTTTGGGCGTGTGTTCACTTTTCCTCCCATTTTAGGGCTAAATCCAATTTTTTTGCAGCGAACTACAAGAACAGTCAATGCCACCAGCTGATCTGAATATTTGGCATTTTTTAAGAGTTCATCCACCGTAAGAGATGATGAGATAAACACTCGGATCAGCAGAAATCGTGACTTGTGTGTTCAGACGTATTACGCAACATGGCTTTTTATCTCAAGCTTCACAGGCTGAGCAACATTCCCCCTTTTTCATAAAGAGGAACATGTTGGGGTGTTTCTGCTTGTTAAAATAAAATAAAAAAAGACATCTTCAGGAAAGCTGTGGTAAGATTCGTTACATCAGATGGGAGCAATGATCCCAGTTAAAGTCATGAAGCTCTACAAACACTAAACATGATTTATATATAGTTTGAGATCTTAATTCATGCATGTTACGTGTGCGAATTATTCCAACCACAGCACATTTAGCATGTAGTGGTCACTTGTCTCACACACTCAGGCTTCAGGTTGGTCGACACTCAGTTACCAGGTGGGCAGGAAGTGGGTCCAGACGTTGAGCGTCTCATTGGTCTTCTGGAAGAGGCTGAGGATGCAGTCAGTCGCTGAGCTCCGGGGGTGTCGGTACCCAGAAATGATGCTGTCCTCATGGAAACCCTCAGGAGGAACAAGAAAAACATCACAAGTTCAGCATCGAGTCATTTTGATAAATCTGTAAACAGTTTCTTCACTAGAGGAAGTCCTTCCTCCATGTGGCCAACTTTTCAACTCATCCCCCTTTCTACACATTACAATAAATTTAATTCACTACAACATTTAGCCGTTTCTGTCCCTGATCTGTTCTGGACATTATCAGTATTTTTATGCTTCTGTTGATCTTTATATTCTGTTTTTATATCTCGTGTGATTCCTACATGTTCCTTTGTACTGGAACTCTGGCACAACTATTCCCTGTGGGATCAACAAAGTTCCATCTTTTCTTTAAATTTAAGAAACCATTTTCATACAAAGACATTCTTATAACTGAACCAAATGTTTAATCCAACAATCTTCAAATGATGCTGTCGGGTGTAATGAGTAAACCTTGCATCTAAACTTAAGTTTTAGATTCGTACACAGTAGAAGATGATCAACTCAAATTTGACATTTAAATAAATGCAGCTTTAAAATATATCAAAATGATAAAACAGGCACAAGAACGTTTTTAAATTAACAGTTTGAAAGTTAAAAGACTTGAAAGCTGTTAAATGGTGCGATGGAGTAAACTTACTTTGGGCACCTGATTGATGGTGAAGACTCGTGGAAACTTGATGAGACTGAGCATGATTAGCTGCTGCTGTGAGGAAGAGGAGGAGAGCTGAAGTGAGGCCGCAGGCTGGGTGTGCCTCCGTCTTTATAAGGTGTGTGTTGCCATGCCGTCCTCAAGGTTCCTCCCCTTCAAGCCCAGCAAGAATATCCAGAAGGGCCGTCTCTGTGGAGGGCGTGTGCAAACAGGTGTGCACTGAAACAGTGAGTGGATAAAGTGTCTTCAAGAGTGTCTGGTTCATATTTTTAATCAAAACAATAAATAAAAAAATTGTCCTGCAGACAGCAGCCTTTCTGCGATTATATAATCCTGTTCCTGAGGAGTGTCAGCCAGAAAGTCAGGTTTCACTTATCAGCTAACAATAAATAATCAGTCATTCCCATCGCTCATTCTTCTGTACAGTTTTTACAGTCCAACCTCTTCTGCATACTTTGTTATTTTAGCCATTCATATGTCAAAACATTTAGCTCATCCTGGAGCGGGCTTTTACCTTTTGTAAATTTCATAAATGTAAGGAGAAAATTTTTCACAATTTTTTTAAATATTCAAATTCACAAATACTTCCTCAAAGTATATCAGATATTTTCACTTCTTTAAAAACGCCACTCTTAAAATCTGGCTCAACAGACCTACTCTTTTTGTCTTCACAAGCTACAATTGAATTTTAGTTAACATTTTGGTATTTTTAGCTTTCACCTTTTGCCTTTTAGCTACAGTTCGCGTATTTTAGCTTTTAAATTTGGACACATTTAGCAACCATTGTGGTACTTTTCCATTTCATCTACCTTTGTAGCTAGCATTTTGCACCTTTTAGTGTTCGTCTCCTGTTCTGCAACTTATAGCTTATATCTGCTTTTTTGATTGTTTAGCTACCGTTCTGTTACTTTGGGCTAGTGTTTTGCAAGATTAGCTTTTATTTGCATTTTGCTTCTTTTAGCTAAAATATAAAATGTGCTCCTGCTGGCTGCAAGGCTGACAAAGCTTTTATTGCTAGTGTCACCCAATCCTGAAATATCAAGCAGCTTCAGGGCACCAACGATCAGTCGTTAGGATGATGGTCCTCCCTTTTCATGTGAACAACTAGTTTTGGCTGGCACCCCCAAACTGGTTGATCCACTATGAGAAGGTGCTGATTCAAGTCAAAGCTCCTTTTGGCTTCCTGTTAAACTGACATTTCACAATTTGATATCTGATGAGGCAGTTTCCACACCCCACAGCGTTGGACGAGCTCAGCCTGAACTGTTATCTTGTTCAAAATGAAACAATCAAAACAAACATGAACTAGAGATCAGAAACATCGAAGCCGTTACTCAAATCCCTAACCAGGAAAATCACGGAGAGAAAAATAAATCACTGTAATGCCACTTTGGTGATATGTGCTGCTGATCATCCACGCTGCTGATCTCATGCTGCTGTATTCATTCATACCCATCTGCTCACACAGACTCACGTTGTGGCTGCTGCTGTTACGCAGTAATTACTAGTATTAAGCACACATCTTCACTCTTAGCGTACCGTTTGGCGTTAGTTTTGGACATGGGTGTCCAAACATTTTCATAGTTGGGCCAGAACAGTCTAGATGAAACGTAGCGTTTATGTTCTAGATGAAAAGGTCGAGGGCCAGAAAAATCTGAATTTAAGGAAAAAAAAATAAAGTTCTCATTTTTAACAACTTGAATATTCTGGAGAAAGGTTAAAAGTTTAAATTTTTGTAGATCCAGAACATTAGGAGCCCCAAACATTAACCTCTCTTTAGTTTAAGAATTTATCCATCATCATCTTTCAGCTTGAAAGCAGCTTGAGCAGGGAGGTCCAGACATCTCTCCACAGCCACCTCTTCCAGCTCTTCTGGGAGGATTACAAGATGTTCCCAGGACAAATGAGACATCCAGCGTGTCCCGGATCTTCCCCGAAGTCTCCTCCCAATCGGACATGCCCGAAGCACCTCCCTAAGGAGGTGCCCAGGGAGCATCCTTACCAGATGCCCAAATCACCTGACTGGCTCCTCTTGATGTGGAGGAGCATCAGCTCTACTCCAAGTCTCTCACAGATACAGTTTGTGAACTTCTCACCCTGTCTCTAAGGGAGAGTCCAGCTACCCTGTAGAGGAAACTCATTTCAACTTCCTGTATCCACGACCGTTCTTTCGGTCACTACCCAGAGCTCATTTAAGAATTTTATTAGATTTTTTTGTGGGGTGACTCATTTTCTTGTGCTTTGAAAGTTCATTTTCAGCTGGCAACAGCTGGCAGTCACTAACACAGATTTATATCACTGATAAAGTTGATCAACTTGTATGTCGTTGATACCACTTTATATTCTTTTAAAAATGTCCACAGTTTCTCCCCATAGATTTAATCAACTGAAATTACTTCCTTTGAAAAACATTTGTTGTATTTAGCCAAGATTTATGACTCATCTAAAAATTATACTTTTTGTCAGGTCAGTGAAGGTTTGTTGTACAAGGGGATTAATTATCGCTACATTTTTGTATACTTCATTTAGCTCATTTTGATTTTCTTTTTTTTTTTTGCTGTAAAACCAAACTATATTTTAAAAAAGTATCATGAAATCTACAGAAGGTCTACATCTGCATCAACCTCTTAAGCCTGTGGGTCAAAATTAAACCACTCTTTAATTACAGTCTTGGGCTGCACAAAATCACTCCAAGGACCACAAATGGCCCTCGGGCCACACTTTGGACACCCCTGGTTCTTTGTTTACGTTTCTTTTTACACTACTTTTGCCATTGTTGGATGTAACTGGGACCCTATGTACATAATTTAGTTCCACCTCATGTACCACATGTGGTGAAATGACAAACCTCCTTGAACTTGAAGATGTTCCTGTGGATAGAGAAGTCGACTGGTGACATCACTTTAAAGGTAAACTCTGCTGTTGTACGTCTGCAGTAATCATTTACCTGCTGGGTGAAGTTTAAACCCAGGATTTGGTTAATGCCTCGTGTTAAACGCTCAAATGAGTCCAGTTTAATGTCTAATCCTCTCCGTCCAGCTCCTGTTTCAAAGCATCTTGAAACATTTAACCTTCAGACTTCAGGGTCTTCCCACCATCAGTGATCTCCACCCATTTGTGTCGTCAGCTGCAGTCCCAGCAGCTCAGAGCAGACTCCTGTACAGCACTCTGGGAATTCATCCCGCTTCCTCTCACAGCAGCAGCTAAACCGCGGTCGAAGTCAGAGCAACCACGTGAAATTAGAATAAAATAAAATCAGCCGAGAGCTGATGGATGACTGGGAGTCGGCTTGAACGGGCGCAGTTTGCTAAAATCTGCGTTAATGTGTAATTCGTTCTAATGTTCACGTCCAAAAGCAGCATAAACAAAGTTAAGTGCAGAGAGTTATGACCTCGGAGGGCCAGAGGATGGAAAACAAGGTTAGGAAAAAATAAAACTGGTCTGAGATGAAGTTGAGCTTTTCTGTTGGAAATTTTTTTTTTAATCAAAGTGCCTCTGATTTAGAGCTGCGTCTGTAGTTTAAACACGTTTTAATCTAGAACTACAAATTAACAATCGGAGCAACAGCTTCTAACTTGGAAAGTAATAAATGTAATTTAAAAAATATCTAAGGATTATACAGAGTATTTCTCTGTCTTGATTAGCTCAGCTGATGCAACGTTAACCACACCATGTGAATCAAAGGCCCAGCTCTCCTTGAAATGCACGTCTCCCACCAGCTCCATCTTCAGCTCATTCAATTCAAGACACTTTATTAATCCCAAAGGGAAATTAAATGTTGTAGCTCATCATCCTGGTTTCATTGGGTTGTTATAGATGCTGATGGCTGTGGGCAAGAAGGATTGCAGCAGATTTAAGAAACTGGCTGCAGATGCCGATCCGTCCACCTTGACCCAGCGGGCCTCTCGGTCCTACTGGGCAGCAGGACCACCTGAATGTTGGGCAGAATGATGAGCTCCTCATTGCAGACAGACAGCTGCAGATGTCGGGGGACGACCATGGTTTTGTTGTCCTGAGCCATGTTTCCTGTCAGCTCCAGGATCTCTGCAGTCAGTCACTCGAGCACCTCCGCCAGGTCGACGGAGATGCATCCACAGCACCTCCTTTACAACTCCTTTGGGATTTGGGTTGTATTTGAGGTAATTAAGCTTTGAGCTGTTAATCAGCTGCTCCCGGTTGTAAAAAAAAAAAAAAAAAAAAAAAAGTGAGTTTTAGCTGAGACTGAGATAGTGCTCAGAGAATGTGTTGAAGATGACTCTCAGGTACTACCACAACAAACTCAGCTCTGAGCCTGTGAAAATGACCGCTTCTGTTGGATACGGTGCTTAGACATGGCTACCATCTTGAAAGGGTTGACTCCAAAAGTTCAAGTTTCTTTATCGTTAAACGCATGAGGGTACATGAGGTGGAATGAAATCGTGCACTCAAAAAATCGCAGTTACACCCAAAAACAGTAAAAAGTATTCAAACAACATTTAAGGATCCAAGATATGCACCAAGATATTCGGTAAACGAGCGTGTGAAAAGTTAACCAGCTATAGATGATTCATTTAAACGATTCATTTAATCCATTGATTACTCTGGGTGTCTTGATAAAATCTGTCCTGTGGTTAATGAGACATTTAGCTAACACTCCAAATCACACGTGGGCGAGAACATTTTTTCTTGTTTTCAGAGGCAGGCCATTAACAGCATTACAATGTTATTTTTTCATGAATTTAAAAAAAAAAACTGGTCCTGTCCACACATCCACCCTGCATTAAATTAGACACTGAAGTCTCTCAATGTCCCCGATACATCAGAAAGAAGAAAAAAAAAAAAAAAAAAACACTGCAGCAGAAAAAGACTGTCTCACCATGAGCAGGTTAATTATCAAACACAATCTCTGCCATTGTTTAAAGTTCAGACAGGTCTGACTCGGGTTAGATAACATCTGGGGTGAAAAATATTTTAAACACTAGAAAGTTCCTGGAGAAACTTCTGACAAGGACTGCAAGGTCGCTGCCATTCAAAATTTTTGATGCGACTTACGATGTGTTGGGGTTCACTCACAGCCACCATACCAAAGTTTTTACCCAGTATGGGAATCCCCATAGACTGAGGTTTGCAGATGACATTGTGATCTGTGGTGAGAACAGAACAGGTGGAAGAGAACTTGGAGAGGTGGAGGTATGCACTTGAAAGAAGAGGAATGAAAGTCAGCTGTAGTAAGACAGAGAGTACATGTGTGAATGAGAGGGAGGAGGTGGAACAGTGAGGCTACAAGGAGCAGAGGTCACAAAGGTGCAGGACTTCAAGAACTTGGGGTCCACTGTGCAGGAAAATGGGGGAGTGAGGTAAAGAGGTAAACAAGAGGATGGAGTGGATGGAGAAAAGTTTCAGGAGTGATTTGTGACAAAAAGGTGTCAGCAAAGGTCAAAGGAAAAGTTTACAAGACAGTGGTGAGAGCAGCTATGTTGTATGGTCTGGAGACAGAGACATGGACAAAAAGACAGGAGACAGAACTGGAAGTGGCAGAAATGAAGATGTTGAGGTTCTTCTTAGGAGTGACAAGGATGGATAAGATTAGGAATGACATCATCAGAGGTGCAGCACAGGTTGAACAAGTGGGAGATAAAGAGACCAGACTGAGATGGTTTGGACGTGTCCAGAGGAGGGACAGTGGGTATACTGGTAGAAGGATGTTAGAAATGCAGCTGCCAGGAAAAAGACAAAGTGAGGACAGAGATGGAGGAGGATGACTCGCTGTGGAGACACCTGAAGATGGAAAAGCTGAAGGAAAAAGATTCAGTTCAGCTTTCCTTTGACAACTTTCAATTTCACCTTAAAAGTGTGGAAAGGTGTAAAATACAAACCACTAATTAAAACACAATTTATGGAAGAAAATAAAAAATCTTTAGAAAACCAGAATTTAAAGCTTGAAAGGAGAAAGCTGAAAACAAAAGTTTAATTTTAATTAGCCCCAACAGCCACAGTTTCATCTCTAAATGCATCAGTTTTGACGGCTCTACTTCCACACAGAGTACGACTCTAAACCAAACTCTTCTGCTGACGACAGAACACCTGCTCAGCTGACAGCAGGTGTTGGTGTGGCTCACCTGGACGCTCACGTCAAGAACTCCAGTGGGCCGTGGTGTGAGCAGGAGCCTCTGGTGGTAATCACTGCTGTGTCATTCTTACAGTTTGACCCCAAATGAGCCCGATGTTAAATCCAAGCCATCACCATGGCAACCAGAGCTCACAGCTGATGGTCATTTGATAATCAGCATCTCCTCACAGCTCTGTTCTGTCTGCACTCTTTAATTCTTTAATA